TCTAAGTGCAGGTTCTGTTTTTCTCAACTAATTCTTGCTGTGGTTCGGATGTACCAAGTAAACTACCATCTGGAGTGATGGAGAAAATGTACCCGAAATGAACCAAACCATCTGATTGTGGCAGTCATGGTTCATTCCCAGAGGGGCAAACAAGGTAGAAGGATCTTCAGGAAGGTGGTATCTGAATAGGGTCTGTTGCTACCTGACGGTGCCACACATGTTCAAATAGGTAAAATCATGCCCCCTCCATAAAGAAATAAAACTTCAAATGTCAGCACCATTTAGCATTTACGTATACATGCTTGCACCAAATGCATTTCTGTGGGATTGCATTCTATGAGAATATACCTAGTGCATTTTTTTCAGGTACTCTGATTGTGATAACTGTATGTGAGCAGCATTAAGTTCAGCATTTGTTGCAATTCAACTACCCTACTTTTATGGGCCCTTTGTGCTCTTAGTTATGATCCTAAATTACCAAATCTATGCTCAGTAATTCTCTAGGTACCCTGGAACTTACGAGAAGTTTTTCTTATAGTTACAATCATGTTAGTGAATAAGGGCTAATTTTAAAAATAAGAGAAAGAATGAAGAAAAACTATATTATTTGATAGTAAGACAATGAAATATAAGAGTTTATAAAGGAGGAAAGAAAGGAGCTGGACTTATCAGTGAAGAAAGGATTTTTAAAAAACATAGTAAAACTCATAGACGGTGAAAAATGTGCAGGGATTGGTAATGCTACAAGGTCATCAGCACTTTCTGAGCAGCTACTATGTAGCATCATTCAGGGATTGGTAATGCTACAAGGTCATCAGCACTTTCTGAGCAGCATACTATGTAGCATATTCTTTCTCACAAGGTAGTTATTATTATTCCATTTTACAGATGATAATATTGAAGTTTGAGAAAATGTATTACCTTAGCCAAAAGTCATAACAAATAAGAGGAACCCAAATATTCAGACTCAAATCTGAATATATGAAAATGCTGTGCCATCTCAAGTTTGCCTGAAGAGGGACCATTAGATCACAGCCAGGATTGTAACCTGAGTAAACAATACAGTGGAGCTTCTCTCTGCTCTCAGGTGTGCCAGGCTTTGCAATGGGTCCTTTGGCAGGAAAGCCTTCTACCTATTTTCCCTTGGTTAGTTTCTAACTTGTCCATCAAGTTGCAGTTTAAGCATCATTCATCAGGAAATGAAGCATGGGAAAAGCATGGAGAGCCAGAAGGTTCCCTGACCCTCCAAAGTGGGTTCAACCCTGGTCTCATAGCCACCTGCCACCACACCTGGGTCAGGATTAGGCTTAGCTACCAGCTCCGACCTGTGTTCTATTGGTCTCTGAGATCTACTTGTTCTCTTATCCTTCAGCTTTTCATGTGGGTACCCAAAGGCTCAGAGATGGCACGGTGGTGAAGGCAGCCTCCCAGATATGATTTTTGCTACAGGATTGTCTCACCTGGTCTGCCAAAGATTTCAACATGAGGTTTTTGGGGAAAGGTTTGGGACCACAGTCAGGTTCAGCAGCCTCTTTAGAACCACCTGTTAACTTTTTCCATTTAGCGTCTGGAACTCAATTATACTTCAAACTACTTCACTCTCTTTCATGTAGTAATTTAGTCTGCCAGCAAAGAGCCCCCTGAGCAGAGCTGTGTTCCCTTCCTTCTCTGCTTACAGATAGGCTAGCTTGGGCCTTAGTCCAGCCGTCTTGCAGGACTTTGCTGAAATAAGCACCAAGAACACACACTGCCATCCTGTATATTTTTATTTTCCCTAAAGCTGCAGGCTTAGTCAGCATGTGGCCAATTTTCAAAGCATCACATGTAGAAGTAATACTAACTCTTTCGCCACAGCACATGAGGGTCACTGGCTTTCTGGCCTACATCTGCATCCTTGCTGTTCAGCACCTGCCTGCCAAGCCAGTATCACATCTTTAGGTTCTGTTAAGTATAGGAAACCAATTTAAAGAGTGAATTTCTGAATGTTGTTCAGAGTATATTGTGGAGGGAAGTATTGTGGAAATCAATTAAACCAAGTTTCTTACCTTAACTCTGTTATTAACTATGGCAGTAATCTAAATATCCTTAAGAATAACAAAAACTAAAACAAAATAAGCAAAATGGCAATAGACTCGGAGACACTGAGAAGTGATGGTAGTTACCATGAGGGAGGGGTTGGGGCAGGTGGGTGAGGAGGATGAGGGGGATAAAAAGGGCACAAAAATTCTCAATCGTAATTCAAGATGGTCATGGGGATGGAAATGCAACATGGAGAATATAACCAATGGTTTTGCAGTATCTTCCTATGTTGATAGTAACTGCACTAGTCGAGGTGAGGATTTAATAATATGGGTAACTATTGAACCACTGTGTTGTATACTTGAAACCAGTATAAGACTGCATATCAACATACTTCAATAATATATATACATTAAGAGATAATCAAGAAATTCATTCATTGTTATCAACAAATACTTATTAAGCATCTGCTGCATTTCAGAATATATATACACACACACACACACACAAGGATATTATCACTTTGTTAGAATATCAGAATAATACACAGACACATTCATAAAGACCTGAGGTCATTCACAAGACTTCATATATATATGAAGCCACAAAATAAGAAAGGCAGCAAACTTTTATAGTTCCTATAAAATTTCCAATTGAACCCAAACTTTACTAGAGCTCTCTAAAAACCAATGTCTGTCCCTTCTAACCTATTATGATCTAATTTTTTAATAATCACACAATTCCTAATATCAAAGAATAATAAAAACTGCTTTCCAGCATGTTTTTTCATGAACTTTCAGTATTTTTTCTATCATATTATCAACCTTTCCATACATTTCACCTATTTTCCCCAAATTGCCTTAGATGGCAAATGCCAAGTTCTTTTCCTGCTAACAATTCACAGCAGCCCCTGGAGAATGGGGCTGTGAAGGCTCTTCATTCCTGGGCTCTGTCCTGGCTCCTGGGGTTCCCCTCTCCAAACCTGGCTTCTCTGCAATGTCCCTTAAGCCCTCCAGTTAACTTGTACTAGAAGCCTAGAGTTTAAAGCCAAATTAGTTAAAACTCTCACTTGCCACTGAAGTCTTGTGAATGACCTCAGGTCTTTATGAATGTGTCTGTGTGTTATTCTGATATTCTAACAAAGTGGCAATATCCTTGTGTATGTGTCTGTGTATATTCTGAAATGCAGCAGATGCTTAATAAGTATTTGTTGATAACAATGAATGAATTTCTTGATTATCTCTTAACTACAGCCTGATGCCAAAGGAACAGACTTCAGGATTTGACCTATTCCCTCTCCTCCCAGACTATGTGGGTGGACTTTTTCTTTTCATAGATCAGTAGGTAGGTAGAGAATTGATAGATAATAGATAGATATATAACTAAATAGATGAGTGAGAGGCATGTGGTGTGGCCGATCTGATAGATTCTAAATCTGGGTTTGGGTCATTTGGAATGAGAACCTATTTCGGTGCTGACGAAGCTCCCAAGAATGTTTCTCCCCTCACCTCTCACTCCCTTTGAGCCATTTAACTCTTGTCTGCTTTCTCTCTGACTTCAAAGCAGTAGGCGACAGCAGCGGCTCCTCTGGAAATCTTGGCCTGCTGTTTCATGGACAAAATTATCCCGTCTTCTGCTTTTACCCCCACCTCGTGCTCTGTGACTCACTTTGCCGTCACAGCCAAGGCCCAGATGCTGTGAAGTTTTCTTTCAGAAGGCATCCTGGGCTCCTAAGTTCACTGTGGGGGTGCCCCCAGCTTGCTGAGTGCCGCAGGTATCAAACCCTAAACGTCTGCTCACAAATACGGTTTCCATCCAAGGCCTTCCCACCAGCAAGCACGTGCCATCGCTTCAGAAGAAACACCAGGCACAGGTCCTGACGCGTTCGAGCCTGTGGCTTCCGGGGTACGCAAAGGCAAATGCAGCCTGCTGAGGGCCCCGTGCAGAGCCGGTGCCCACAGAAAGGCCACGGTTCAGGGCTCTTCTCCCGTACTTGAGGTCCCATCAGTCAGAGATCTGCTCTTCCTGGGGAGCACCTTGGTGAGAACTAAAGTAGATTGGTTTCTTCCAACACGTAGCTATTCTTATGTCCACAGAGCAAGGAGTATTGTTTAAGACAGAGAGAAGAAGACCCCTGGGGGGACATGGGGTATTTGAGGAAGGAAGTTGGAGGAGTCCTGAGTAAGACTCACCCAGTTCCTTCCCAGGGGAGCAGGGGAACGGAAGCTGGACGACTGCTGTCTTGGTGAGGAAGCACTGGGAGCGGCCGATGAGAGAGAGGGAATCAGACCCTTTCACGATCTGTACAGGGAGAGACTTCGGAGCCAAATAAGCCTCATTTCTCGTTATTTCTATGCAGGCTCTCCTTTGCTCACTCCTCACTCCTTTGCTCTATCCAGGTTCTCCTCATGCCACTCAGGCCTCCTGTCATTGCTCCACTGTCCCAGACATGTCACCCGCCTTTAACAGGTCACAATGCACCACCCCCTCAGACTGTCAGGGCATCACACAAATGTCACCTTCTCCGCAGGCCTTCTTTATCCCACCCCCACCTCTGAAATTGCCCTAAACTCCTAATTTATTTTTCTCCTTACCACTTACTGCCATCTAACACATGTTTTACACATTGCACTTAGTTACAACGGACTTTCATCTGTTTTGCTTCCCACTATTGCTCCAGCGCCTGGGAGGTGCCTGGCCAGAGCAGACTCCCACTCTTTGTTGACACAATGCATGAATGGACAAACAAATTACAGCTTGGTGCCATGGGAACCAGCTTCCGGGTTTATAACCTTCCCCTCCCCCTTCAGAGACGTGGCTTGGCTTTTCTTTTTTATGATTAGCAGAGCAAAAGTAAACATCCTGATCCCCTATCACTAAAATAAAAGGAGCTGTCACTTGCAGGAGAACCTCTGATTTAGACAACACACACCAAGGGCAGGTGAGTTTGCAGATCCAGGTTTTTCAGTCTGGGCCAGTGATGATATATTACACAAACCAGCAAAGATGAGGCCTTAAAGTCAACTGCACACTGGATTCGACGCCAGAGGCTCTCCAGTGCTGCCTGCCGCTCCTGCAGCTTTGGCTGATATCACAGGTGGGCATGAGAGAGGGGCAAAAAGTGCAGTCACCATGGTGCTTGTGTGCAACGCTTGCTGTCCAGCAGAAACACGTGGGCAGCTTCTGCACCTGACACCTACCTGCCGGGATTCTGATTTCTTCCTTTGAAAAGGAGTAGAGGTGATTTCAATAACAAGACAGGGCTGAGATCCAGTGGTTTAGGGAAATAATATGTCCCTATTGTTTACTTTGTCTGCAATTCCTCCCAATATCTATGTAGTTTAAGAACCAGCATAATGTCCCCGTGTGCAGGAATGTAGGTGTGTCAGGCGTATGAAGCACAGCTTACAAGTGCTCCTGGGAAATCACCAAGTAAAAATGTCAGTGGTTAATACTTGACATAGAAGGTCTAAGACACCATGGTGGTGGTCTCAGAAAATGCTTCTATCAAGATTTCAAATTGTTGCCCTTTTTAGTTTTTTAGGTAAAAGTAAGTATTGTTTTCCTTTGTTTTCAATTTCTTTTTTGGCTCTAAATGTGATCTCCTGTTAATATGTACTTCTCAGGTACATTTCTGAAGGAACTCCATCCTAAGGGACTCTGAGGATGCCTATCCCTGCTTTCCAAGTGTGTTAATTGCACCAAAGGACAGAGATCTTCTCAACAGTATTCAAGTCTTCAGCCACAGTAAGCACATCAGATATTGTCTTTGCAGCCCAGTCCTAGAGTTGGGGACACCCAATACTGGGAACTGGTCAGGTGTAAAAGAATCAGAATTATGACTATGAACTGATTTCCTTTTTCACATCCTTTTCCTCCATAATGGATGTTTGGACCCCACTATCATCATAGGCTCCACAAATTACAAGCCAATATCCCTAGATAAATATAGATGTAAGAATCTTCAACAAAATATTAGCAAACCCTATTCTCAATACATTACCAGGATCATACACCATGATATGTGGGATCTAATCCAGGGATACAATGATGGTTCAACATCCACAGATCAATCAACCTGATACCCCACATCAACAAAATTAAGAATAAAAACCATTTGATTATCTCAATAGTTGCTTAAAAAGCATTTGACAAAATTCAACATCCATTTAAGATAAAAACTCTCAAAAAGTGAGTATAGACAAGATTCAAGATGGTGGTCCAAGATGTGAGACAGAGAACTCCTCCAAAAACCACATATAACATGAAAATATAGTTAATACAACTAATCCTAAAGAGCAACAGGAACGAGGGCTGCACAAGATTGCATACACCTGGAGAGCAGAGCAGACCTCATGAAACAGGGTAACGTAACACAACCTTGATCCAGTGGGACCTAAGCCTCCCCACATGGAAGCTCACCGGTGGGAGGGAGAGAAGAGGAGCAGGAAGAGGGTAGAAGTCTATGACTGCTGAACACCCAGCCCTGGGGATCTGCTTTGGGAGTACAAACCTATATTGCATGGTGCTCTGGAGATAAGTGGGGTTAGAAAGCTAAGACAGTCAGAATACTTGGAGAGACTGACATTCTAGCTATTTGTGGAGAACAGGGATCCACATCCAGACACTCTGGGACAAAGGAAAGGTGGGCGATCTGAGAGGCTTCCTAGCAGTGAGAGGGCTGCTGAAGGTGTGGGATTGGTATGGAGCTTGCAACACAGGAGAAGGGATAGGTGGACAAGGTTGTCTGGGCACGCTCTGCCAAGCAGGTTGGGAACTTTCAGGAGATTCAGGTGTTTCATCCCCTTGGCTGGATACTCAGCTTCAAGGCCCCCCACTGTCATATGCAGCCTGCTGCACCTTCCTCCTAGCCTGCTAACAACAGCTCACAAACTGGCAGTCCCTGCCCTGGCATCAGGCCAGCCAGAGCGAGGCCCTGCCTACAGCAGCTACAGACGCAAAGTGCAGAAGCTTACATCTGTGTGCACGGCCCACTGGTTCTGACAGTGGAGACAGGCTCTGCAGCCGGGAAGCAGGAAACAGCCCTTTCCTTCCCCCAGGCACCATTGCCACTCCCCTACAACCCCCTACATCACTCCAGGGGCTGAGCAGCTCCAGAGGCTAGAGCTTCTGGGTGCGAGAGGGTGATACATACAAATATGAAATATCAAAGGAATCTGGTTCAAACAAAAATCTCAGAAACAGCAAAAAAATGGCCAAATAAAACTGAACTCACCAATCTTCCTGAAAGAGAGTTCAAAATAAAAATCATAAACATGCTCATGAAGGTACAGAAAAATATTCAAGAACTCAGAGATGAATTTAGGAGATTCAATCATTAAGAACTTCCATACATAAAATGAAACGTACAGAGGATAAAAGATGGCAGCATGAGAGGAGAGACAGAGGCTTCCTCCTAAAACTGCATACAATTAGAAAATATAGTTGGTGCAACAAATCCTGAGAGAGAAACAGGAAAGAGGATGGCACCAGACTGCATACACCTGGAGAAAAGAGCAGACCTCACCAAATGGGGTAACATACCAGAGCTGTGGCTCCATGGGACCCGAGCCCTTCCCCCAACCCAGCTCACCAGTGGGAGGAAGAGAAACTGAGCAGGGAGGGAGTGGAAGGCTTGGGACTGCTGAATACCTAGTTCCGAATATCTGCGCTGGGAGCACAGACCTACATTTCATGGTTCTTTCATCGTACTCTTCTGATTACGGGGTTGGAAAGTTGGGACAGGCAGAGTTTCTGGGGGGACTGGGATTCCAGCCACTTGTGGTAAGCAGGGATCCATACCCGGCTGCTGTGGGAAAAAAGCTTATACTGGTGTGCTTGGCCCACTGGTACAGTCAGTGGAGACAGGCACAGCAGCCACTAAGTAGGGAACAGCTCTTTCCTCCCCCCAGGCACCAATACTGCTCCACTGCAACCCCCAACATTGCTTCAGGGGCTGAGCAGCTCCAGAATAGAGCTTCTGGACACTAGAGGGTGCCATATACAAATATGAAACGCAAAGAAACCTGGTCCAGAGTAAAATTATCAATACAGCTCCCGAGAAAGATTTAAATGATATGGACCTCGTGACTCCTCCTGAAAGGGAGTTCAAAATAAAAATCATCAACATGCTAATGGAGGTATGGAAAGATATCCAAGAATTCAGGAATGAAATCAGGTCAGAGATCCAATCATTTAAGAGCACGATGGAGGGTATTAAAACCAGGCTGGATACGGTAGAGGAGACTATAAATGAAATAGAAATTAGAGAAGAGGAATACAAAGAAGCTGAGGCACAGAGAAAAAAAGGATCTCTAACAATGAAAGAATATTGAGAGAACTGTGTGACCAATCCAAACAGAATAATATTCACATTATAGGGGTACCAGAAGAAGAAGAGATAGAAAGGGATAGAAAGTGTCTTTGAGGAGGTTATTGCGGAAAACTCCCCCAATCTGGGGAAGGAGATAATCTCTCAGGCCATGGAGATACACAGATCTCCCAACACAAGGGACCCAAGGAAGACAACACCAAGACACATAGTAATTAAAATGGAAAAGATCAAGGATAAGGAAAGACTGTTAAAAGCAGCCAGAGACAGAAATAAGATCACATACAAAGGAAAGCCCATCAGACTAACAACAGACTTCTCAGCAGAAACCTTACAGGCCAGAAGGGAGTGGCATGATGTATTTAATGCCATGAAGCAGAAGGGCCTGGAACCAAGATTACTTTATCCAGCAAGATTATCATTTAAATTTGAAGGAGGGATTAAACAATTTCCAGAGAAGCAAAAGCTGAGAGAATTTACCTCCCACAAACCATCTCTGCAGTCTATTTTGGAAGGACTGCTATAGATGCCAGTGTTCATAAGGTTTAATAGCTATCATCAGAGGTAATAAAACACAGTAAAGAAAGTAGAAGAGCTAATTACTAAGCAAATGCAAAATTAAATTAACTATCCCCAAAGTCAAACAAGGGATAGACAAAAAGAAGAGAATATGATCCCTAATATATAAAGAATGGAGGAGGAAAGGAACAAGGAGGAGAAAAACAAAACAACCTTTAGATTGTGATTGTAACAGCATACTAAGTGAGTTAAGTTAGATTTTTAGATAGTAAGGAAATTAACCTTGAACCTTTGGTAAACACAAATATAAAGCCTGCAATGGCAGTAAGTACATACATATCGATAATCACCCTAAATGTAAATGGAATGAATGCACCAATCAAAAGAAATAGAGTCACTGAATGGATAAAAAATCAAGACCCATCTATATACTGCTTACAAGAGACTCGCCTCAAACCCAAAGACATACACAGACTAAAAGTCAAGGATGGAAAAAGAGATTTCATGCAAACAACAGGGAGAAAAAAGAAGGTGTTGCAGTACGAGTATCAGACAAAATAGACTTCAAAACAAAGAAAGTAACAAGAGATAAAGGAGGACATTACATAATGATAAAGGGGTCAGTCCAACAAGAGGATATAACCATTATAAATATATACACACCCAACACAGGAGCACCAGCATATGTGAAACAAATACTAACAGAACTAAAGGGGGAAATAGAATGCAATGCATTCATTTTAGGAGACTTCAACACACCATTCACTCTGAAGGATAGATCCACCGGGCAGAAAATAAGTAAGGACACACAGGCACTGAACAACACACTAGAACAGATGGACCTAATAGACATCTATAGAACTCTACATCCAAAAGCAACAGGATATACATTCTTCTCAAGTGCACATGGAACATTCTCCAGAATAGACCACATACTAGGCCACAAAGACAGCCTCAGTAAATTCCAAAAGATTGAAATCCTACCAACCAACTTTTCAGACCACAAAGGTATAAAACTAGAAATAAATTGTAAAAAGAAAGCAAAAAGACTCACAAACACATGGAGGTTTAACAACATGCTTCTAAATGGTCAATGGATCAACGACCAAATGAAAATTGATATCCAAAAATATATGGAAACAAATGACAACAACAACAGAAAGCCCCAACTTCTGTGGGATGCAGCAAAAGCAGTCTTAAGAGGAAAGTATATAGCAATCCAGACATATTTAAAGAAGGAAGAACAATCCCAAATGAATAGTCTAACATTACAATTAAAGAAATTGGAAAAAGAAGAACAAATGAGGCCTAAAGTCAGCAGAAGGAGGGACATATTAAAGATCAGAGAAGAAATAAATAAAATTGAGAAGAATAAAATAATAGGAAATATCAATGAAACTAAGAGCTGGTTCTTTGAGAAAATAAACAAAATACATAAGCCTCTAGCCAAACTTACTAAGAGAAAAAGAGGATCAACACACATAAACAGAATCAGAAACGAGAAAGGAAAAATCATGACGGAACCCACAGAAATACAAAGAATTATTAGAGAATACTATGAAAACCTATATACTAATAAGCTAGAAAACCTAGAAGAAATGGACAACTTCCAAGAAAAATACAACCTTTCGAGGCTGACCAAGGAAGAAACAGAAAATCTAAACAAACCAATTACCAGCAAAGAAATTGAGTCAGTAATCAAAAAACTACCCAAGAACAAAACCCCTGGTCCAGATGGATTTACCTCAGAATTTTATCAGACATACAGAGAAGACATAATACCCATTCTACTTAAAGTTTTCCAAAAAGTAAAAGAGGAGGGAATACTCCCAAACTCATCCTATGAAGCCAGCATCACCCTAATACCAAAACCAGGCAAAGACCCCACCAAAAAGAA